GGTGTAGACCGAGGGAAGGCGCTAGGAGAACTGACTGGCCGCGTGCCACGTCCACTGCATTTAAGTAATGAACCGCTTCCTCCCGTGCGCGGGCGCGCGCGGCTCCGGACGCCCTCGGCGAGCGCGCGCCGGACCTGTTGACTTTGCAGACTCTGCCTTTGGGCGCTCGGCGGCTCCGGGAGACGCTGGCTCTTGAGCTTGAAGTTGAGGCCGGCGGCCGCGCAGCACCCGCAGCTGCCGCCGCTGCCATTTTACCTGGCGTGAATTTTACGAGTCGCTGCCTGAGGAGGCTTAGTTTCAAATGATGCAATAGTGGAAGATCTGGAGGAGGCGGGTTAAGATTACCATCCAAGTCTTGAGTGCCGGGAAACTCCTGACGGTCAACCCTATGTTTTAAATAGAGCCCTTAAAATAAAAACAAAACAAAAACCGAGCTGCAGCTTCTTTACGCGATCTGCAGACGAGAGGGCCAGCGGGGGTGATCCAGAACCTTCCTCACAGCCTGTCCTTTGTGATGAGGGCACCAAGATCACAGACCAATGAACTAGAGCTTGTGCTCACCTGCATCTGTTTAGTGTTGAGAATTCCAAACTACCCGTAAAAGCAAATGATGAAATAATTACATTTGTTGCCAATTTCATCTGTGACAACCTTTCTTTATCTATAGCTTTAGGCTGTCCTTTTGGTAGGTCACCGAACCAGCAATTTTTCATTCTTCAGTTCTTGTCTGTAATTAAGGTAGTAACACTTTCAGGGTGCTTTGACCCTACAGTCACTCCATTCCTCAAAAGTTGTTATGGTTCCCTGTTGTGTACTGAATTAAGTATCCATGCACCTGGCATGCAAGGCTCTGTACAGTGTCATCTCAGTCTGATGTTCCAGCCTTGTCCCCAGCTGCTTCTCTCTGTAACCATTTAGTGTAATCAGTGTTATGCCCATATTATAAATGAGGAACCAAGTCAGGGAGTAGCTAGTAAATGTGGAGTGAAAATTTTGAATCCCTGAAATTTTCCGAGGCTCTCTTTCAGTGAGTCTGCTCACTGAAAAAAACTTTGCTGCACTTAGGGTTGTATAATTGTCTAGACCAAGATATTGTTGAGAGAGAAAGGGAATGCTATTAATAATTAACATTTGAACAATAGGTGTAAATTGGTATACTCCCGGTCATGTTGCGACATCTGGCCACCCTAGCCATGCCCATTGCTTGCAAGATGAACTGAGGTATTGAGATGCATTAGCTAGGGAGAAGGGCTCTAGCTCTGTGGGGGCAAGTTAGGTTTCAGAACAGCAAAGATCCTGGGACACTGATACTTGATGAATATATTTGTTGCATGAATGAATGAATGCAAAAAAGATGTTGCTTAATAATTTCTCAGTTTTTGCCATTTCTTTCATTCACTTTTTAAGTTTAATAACTATTAGGCACCTATTACATACTCATTCTATACTGGTCCTAGGAGATGAGCAAAGTACAAATGGAATTTTTTGTACATGCCAAATCCACTTTTGTCCCTAACGGTGCACCCTTTCCATTGGTGTAAGTTTCACAAACATTTATTGAACATTTGCTCTGTGCTCAAACTTGGTAGGTGCCTTAGAAAGAGAAGACGGCAGTTTTGGCTCTGTAGGGTTCTCAGTCTGGGCAGGGAAATGTGACTTGTGTACACATCTCTAGAAAAGAACTCAAGGCAAGGTAAGCAAGTTAGAAGTAGTGTGTTGTAGACTGGGGTATCCTTATTTGTAGAAAGTCCCTAACTTACAGTGGGCTGAAGTGCTCTACACAGGAATGAACAAGACCCTGCTCTTCAACTTGACTGGTTGTGTGAACTAAAATGGCTTATTTCAGCTGGGAAGTTTTTCAAACAGATATACACTTAATAGTCTTTGTGGCCACTCTTTGATAGTAAAAGGGTGTGGGAAGTAAAAGGGTGTGTTTGGAAAAGTAGTGCAAAGTGGTGTAGTCGGAAAAGTAATAGCCTAGGAATTAGGTGAACTGGGCTCTCAGCTCTGTCGCTCATTTGCTCCGTAGCCCTTCATTCATTATGTGTGCAAACATCTGACTAGCCTGTAAATACGGTAGTGAACTAGACAGACAAGGGCCTTGTCCATAGCTGGTGACTGATTGAGCAGGCCTCTCAGCCTCTTTTTAGGGCTCCCTTATGTTCCCTCATATGGAGAAGGAGGGGCTGGATGAGCCCTAAGTGTTCTTCCAGCTCTAAAAGTCTGTGCTTGCGGAGGGGTGGGGGGCTCCTTTTTGGCAGAAGGGTTAATATTATGGGGATCCCTTTTCTTTCAAAGTGACTGAAGAGATGATGGTGGTAGAAGAGCTCTCATGGTAGCTGTGGGCTGCGGTGTTTCCTAGGTAAATTGATGTTTACTTTTCTAGGAGGATAAATGTGAGAATACAGAGGTGAGGACTTGCCACCTCAAGGGTGCCAAAAATTATTTCTGTGATGTGTGGTCCTTCAAAGCTTGGTTAACAAAATGTAATTTCTTCACATTGGGTTTTCTTGGGAATTGCACAAGCAGCATTGACATGAAGTTCATGAAAGGTATTCAGAAATTATGCAAGGTCAGTACTACAAACCTATGGCAAACAGATGGCTGTGACTGGAGGACCAGTAGTTGCTTGATCTTGAAGTCAGCTCTCTCTTGGCGAACGCCTCATTCTTTTGTTTACTTTTCTGTTAATCCTTACCCAAGGGTATTTTTTCCATTGATTTTTGTTTTATTTAAAAAAAAAATATTTTTATTGATTTCAGAGAGAGGAAGGGAGAGTGAGAGAGAGAGATAGAAACATAAATGATGAGAGAGTTGTCATTGATCGGCTGCCTCCTATATTCTCCTGACTGGAGATTGAGCCCACAACCTGGTCATGTGCCCTGATTGGGAGTTGGACCTCAATCTCCTGGATCCTAGGTCGATGCTCAACTGCTGAGCCATGCCCGGCCAGGCTTAAGTTTTTTATTTAGTCATTCTGAACCCATTATTGAACAAAAAGTAAACTATACTTGCTCATTTTATGATAATGCACAGATATATCTCTGTGCTATTAAAATTTCATGGGGGGTATAGTTAAGCAGAAATGTCTAAAAAGGCTTCTTAGGGGGCAATAATGAAACAAAGTTGAGAAATCCTGGGTTAGGGAAGGAAATAGCTTATGTGACGGATGTTTCCATGGCCTGCTTTTTTGGCCCAGGATTTTTTAGGTCTAATTCTGATTTAGAAACGTTTTTCTTTGGAATTTTAGATGAAGTTTAGATCAAATTGATTGCTACATTTTTCTTAGAATCAGCTTCATTCTTCCATTCCACCAGTCACCAGTGTTCCTTGAGCACTTCTTAGGTGCTAATAGCCTTTAGATGCTGGGAGTACTCACTAAGGTAAGACAGTGTTATTGCCCTGGAGGAACTCTCTTAGTTCTGTCTTTGGTCCGGGTTAGGTTTTAGGTAGGAGGGCCATATAATTTATTGTCATCGTAGGACACCATGAGAGTAAATGGAGTGCTTTCAGTAGTTGCCCTGGG